AGTGGCAACACTGGGAAGAGAAGCCCACTCAGTCTCTGTCTTTAGCAGTGTGTGAGCAGTCCCTCTTTGAAATGACTTGTATGGGTCAGTAGTGCAAGATGACAAGGACTAAGTGTTGGTGAAGGATGTGAAAGGCAAACTGTAGTACTGTAAAAACCTGGATACTGGCATCTAGTCTTTCCAAAGTGGGAAACTATGTCTTAGGAACATAATTATTTGGAAACATGTCAATCTGTCAGTAGTCAACAATACAATTGAAAAAAAATGCAAACTCAGAAGCTATTTCCTCATCTTTGCAACAACTGACTGTCAAAATAGCTTCTTGGACTATATCTCCTACCCCAGTGTCCATGCTTGACAGTTGGCCTCAAGTATAGAGCAAAAATTAAGGCCAGCCGCGACTGGTTTGGCTCAGTGGATAGAGCGTCGGCCTGCGGACTGAAAGGTCCCAGGTTCGATTCCAGTCAAGGGCATGTACCTTGGTTGCGGGCACATCCCCAGTGGGGTGTGTGCAAGAGGCAGCTGGTCGATGTTTCTCTCTCATCGACGTTTCTAACTCTCTATCCCTCTCAATTCTTCTCTGTGTAAAATCAATAAAATATAAAAAATTAAGCCCAAAATCTATCTTTACAGACAAATTTGCTTATTTTATTAAACCATTGATTTATTTGCTTGTGTATGTATATATTTTTTTATTTTGTGGAGGAGATAAATAAAATTTAGTTTCTTTGAAGTAGATGACCATTATTTAAACTTGTAGGAAATACTTGAGTCTGTTTTGAAGGAGAGAAATAAAGTTTTCTTATAAAATAGTATAGAAATTACTTCTTAAGCAATTAAAAACTATAAATGTGGGAAAGGGTATAATTACCAAGGTCTTTAAGAAGCCATTTGTCAACATTATTTTGACAGTTATGAAAAAAAAAGAAAAGAAAGAGGACCAGATCTGTTTTTCCCTACTGTTTCTTCTCTGAAAAATCAGTAAATCTATCAAATGTATCTTTGCAACCTGAATGTGAAGGGATTTTATCGGGCAGGCATGCAATTATGTGAAAGAAAAGGAGAACATGAATCTGATCTTAAGACTGATGCAGTACAACCAACACCATATGGATATGCAGACATTTTGTAGAGGATGATATTTTGCTAATAGAAATTCCATTCTTAGGAGAAAGTGTAGTTCCCAAAACACATGTCTCCTTTCAGTTTGCCAACCCCTTCTTCTCAACACCTAGATATAAATATGTATTATATAAATATATTCATAATATTAAGTGGGCTATTTGGGGACACTGTGTGTGTGAAAAGGATTGGATGTTTGAAGTGAGAAGTGTGGGAAGGTGAGGGCTCATGTCTACTTGATGCCAGAAAGAGTGCAGAAAAATAAACCTTCTTTTCTCCTTTGAATTCAGGCAACTCCTTTGTCAAAGGGAATTGCTAGAACAGAGACTAGACAAAGCATGTGGCCCATGTGGGATCATTGGTAAAAAATGTGACTTTCATTGTGACTAAATAAACAAAGCACTGTTCCTTTGAGTCAGTCATGAAGACATCAAAGTGCCATTAGTATCCAGTTCCTTTCATCGCAAAGGAGTCTTACGTACTTGTGCATTTCACTCTTTCAATTATAAAAAAAACAAATGCCATGAATTTCTAAGGCTAAATAACACTGGAATAATTTAATAGGTCTACCACTTTTTGTATAGATATACATTTACCCGCAAACACTATAAAACCATATAAAGTGAAGAAGCTTCATCTGCATGGATCCCTACCAGTGAACTTCATTTCACTTCACTCTGATGTGTCACAATGAAACATTTGGATTCACAGTGAAGGATGGATGAATAACAATTGGTACACTTCTCTTATGTGAAGTTCAGTGTGTCTCACGTAAGAATATTTCATATACACTTACAATAGCTCATGTTAGGAAAGGAGTTACTATTAAAGTATAATTATCTGTAATTTACAGGTGGAGGAATTGAGTTAGAAAGAAACGTGGAGTGCATTTTCCAGTCTCAACATCTCAGTTAGCTTTAGAACCCATAGCTGTCTGCATGCCAGAGTCTGGCTCCACACCCAAGGAAACAATGCAACCTTTCAATTGTGCTCACATTGCTTTTTCTAAAATGTGTAACTTGTGGAAGTCCTGGCATTAACACTCTTATTGCTACTGGATATGATTTTAGACACTTGGAAAGTCCTCTGTTGGCTTTTCCATTAGCCTGCATTCTAAATCCTTCACGTATCAAAATTAAGATTCAGAAGGCAACCTTTGAATGAAAGTCTCATAGATCTTTCTTTCAATCCCTGCCCAATGATTTTATTTAAAGAGATACCTACTGAAGAAGGACAGCAGCATAGAATATATTAGAATTGACATTCTCTCCTTAAAATGTTCCGCTTTAAATATGTTCAATGTTTCAGGTCTTAAGTTCTTGAATTTAAGAAAACAAAATGTTTTAATTATTCAATATATGCAAAGTAATGTTCTCTTCCTCTCTCTCTGGTCTATTTTTATTGTTGTTAATCTTTACTCAAGGATATTTTTCATGGATTTTTAGGGAGAGTGGAAGAGAGAGAGAAAGACAAAGAAATATCAATGTAAGAGAAACACATCAATTATCTAGTTGCCTCCTACAAAAACCCCAACCAGGGGTGAGGCTGTTGGGGAGGAGCCTGCAACCAAGGTATGTGCCCTTGACCAGAATCAAATCCAGGACCCTTTGGTCCACAGGCTGATGCTCTATCCACTTTGCCAAACTGGCCAGTGCAATGTAATATTCTCTTTTTATTTATAAGATAATGCCATTATGCTGTCTTATTTGAATCAGTCTGCAAAGATCTCTCTCTATATATATAAAAACCTAAGTGACCTTCTGACCATTCAGCTAGTAGCTATTATGAGTAATGACCACCAGGGGGTAGACACTCTGACCAGTAGAGGAGGAAGCCTGATTCCTCTACGAATTGGCCATGGGTTAGGTTGCTGCTGGGACACTGTCGGCCCTGAATCTGCTTCATCCGCACCCTAGACCCAGAGATCAGTTTCGGCCCAATCCCCACAGGCCAAGATGAGGGACCCCACCAGTACACGAATCAGACCTCTAGTTGAATATAAAATACTCAACAGCTTTGTTAATACACACACACACACACACACACACACACACATACACTTTTTGAAAAGCAAACAAACCCCAATCTGCATCATCTACATTTGTCAACTTTTAACATGAATATCCAAAACTCCCAGACTTTAGCAAAAGTGGTGATGAAATAAAAATTGTTGAAGCAGTTTAAACAACAAATTTCATATTTTTTTCTGAACCGAAAAGCTTTTATAACACATGTTGCAAAAGGTTTTGTACTAAACTGTCATGATTTGACAGCATCAAATTTAACATTCTTTGCTGTATAAGAAATAGCTTTCAGGATAAAACTAAGGAGAGGGAAATAAGTTATTAAAATCAGCCAAACTGCTGTTTAATAGTGATAACAATGGAAGTAAAAAACAAGTTAAAATTTGTCTAGTAATAAAAAAGTTAGACTGTTGGCTTCTAGGAATGAAGAAAGTCATTTATTTTACATGTTTCAAGAAGAAAAATTTAATATTAAAACAGAAGCTTCTTAAACATTTTTTATTAGGTTACTTTCTGATAATAAGGAACTCAAGGTGAGTTCCAAGTCTCACCACTGATATCTAGATTCATCTTCCCTGGCTACTCTTTTTGATAAAAGAACTATGAGCAGGACATAAAAATAAGACTAATGGAAAAGATTCTCAACTGAAGCAAACTCTCTAAAGAGTGGAACATGTGCAAGACCCAACAAGGTTTGAGGTTACTGCTTGGTACCCAAAAGTTCAATAAATATGTGGGCACCAGACAGCCAGAGGAACCCTGTATAAGAGAAAGCCCAGCAGTACGGGTCCATCTTCTTGTACCTGATCATATATGGCTCTTATTTCACTGCTTCCTGGAAGAACAATAGGGAAGCTATATTGGTTTTGGTCTTCTCTCCCATTGTGAAGAGAGGATTGGAATATTGAAAGAACTGCAAACTACCTGATAGAACTGAACACTTACTTTCTACTCAATGTTTCAAATTAGATTAAGTTTCAAAAAACAATGTTTTCATTGGAAAAGAATTTACTACTTTTTTTCATTTTGTTTTTGTCTTACCTTGGAGATTGGGGTTCACTTCTTTAAAGAAGGGAAGTGTGAAAATTCCCTATTCAAGATTGTCACGGTCCACTATCCGTAAGGTAGTTACGGTAAGTTTGTAGAGTCCCAAAATACGACTATCGGGCACAGCCTCAGGCCCAAAGAAACAGACATCGTTTGTTCAGTCAGGGATGTAGGGTGCTTGGAGTTTATTATTATTATTATTTTTAAATCCACTTTCCTTTTCCTTTTCATCCCCTCATGGCATCACAATCCACCAGGTGGCCTGAGCTTTGAGGAACAGCACTGATGAACCACCCGGTTTTCACCTGCGTTCTTCCCTCTGCCATGAACCAAGCCTTCGTAGCTACAAGTAAGTCCTTCAGCAATGTTCCTGGGCATGACCTTCATTCCAGTGAAAGAAGGAGGACTGTCATTTATGCCACAAACAAAATACTACGGTTGTAATTCCAAATGGAGAAAGCATCAGAATGTCTCTGAGAAGCCCAGTGTCTGGCAGCAGGTACAGCATCAAAACTCAGAGGCGGAGTCCTATTTGCACAGGTACATGTATCTTACAAACTGGCGATGGACCCCAGTACTTCTGAGAAACAGTTTGTTCCAGGTCGAATTCAAGTGACACCGGTCATTTCTGGAAGTCCCATTTTCCAGCATTCTGTACACCAAGCAACACTGCAGATAGGTTTTTTTATTTTTGTATTTTTTTAATTTCAGAGGGCGAAGACGGAGTAAAAAAAGTGCAGTTCTTCAATTAAAGTGCATGGATGAGGTAAACTAATTTCAAGAGTTTTGAGTTTATTCAGTACTGGCTCAGACGGGAACCATCCTGCCGTGTATCTGCTGCATTTGGGTTCGCATCGCCTGGACGTTGTTCAAAATCTTATTCTGGTGGGTGACAGCTGTGATGCCGATTCGTGCCAGGTCGCTGTACGGGGGTAGAAGGGGTGGGAGGTGGGGAGAAAACAGAGGGAGAGTAATGTTATGAGGGGCTGAGAACCTCTCTTTTGGGCTTCATGCAGACACACATCTGATTCAGCCACAATCCATACAGCACAACAAGGCAGGTGTATTAAGATGTTTAATTAAGCAATTTAATGCAACAATGTAGGTGCTTTATAAAGGCTGTGTAAAATTAAGACTCAATCAAAATGAAAAGCATTCCAGTTTTTTGTGTGTGCGTGTTTTAAATGGGTAGGATGATTATGCAGCTCAAAGCAAAAAACAGGAAAATACTATTAAATCTAGATTTACCCTTTTGTGTTACATCGCTGAGTACTTACTCCTGGTTCATGTGCACCACAGCCTCTAGTGTGGTATAACCAGCAGCCGTGAAATTATCCTTATACCGGTCCATTTTAATGGCCTGCAGCCAGTCGCCCACTGAAACCACGGCGGAGAATTCAGGGGAGCTTGGATCCAACAAGGCAGTGTTGGGTCTGGAGATGGAACAAGATATTGTAGACAGAGCTATCAGCGAGACAGCAAGACTCAGAAGTCAAATTGCCTGAGACAGACAAGAGGAACTGAAACCCCAAGAGTAACCTAACCCTCACCCAATGCCACTGTGATTATTTTTGCTCCCCATTTCACAAAGCTTCTAAAAAAAAAGTATCAATCGCCCTATTTGTTCTTAATTTCATGGCCCACATTTGTTTCATGTGAACCTCTTAGTGCATTAATAATCATAGCAGTTGTTTTGTGGTTTTGTGTGTTTTTTTTAACACCCTAGCCTGGGGTAAAGATTCGGGGAGCCCTTGTGGCTGAAATTGATTGTCTTTGCAGAAAGAGTCCAGTCCCTGCCAGCACTGAATATTATAGAGTTGAGTGCAGCAACTATGGAAACCCTAGTGAAGTATGAGTAAGGAAAATCGAGCTTCAATCTGCCAGACTTGATGGAAGGAGAAAGCTGCAAGAGTTCAAGTCTAACGTGCTTTGAGCCAGGTTTGCAGGCAGTCTTGGTAGATTCGAAAAAAACTTGGGACAGCAGGGAGTTAATCCCCTTTAATCAACCCATGCCTAACCAGCACGCGTGCCAAGACTGGAAGGAAGAATGGCCACTTTGATCACTGTTTAGCCTGTGGAATGTGCTTCTGTATTCCCTTGCAGGGGCTCCTAAATAATCATTTCCACAAAAAATATTTTTTATTAACTTAGTTATTAGTTAATACATTTCTCAGGCCAGGTGTTTGATATGAGGTCATTGTTAAAAACAACTATAGTTCAAGGCAGGAATTCTGCCAATCTTCATAGTCCTGATAATATAATAAATCACCTATTAATGGAAAGTATTTAGTAACAGACTTGTAGTTATCTTTATCATCAAAATATATAATAAACACAAGGTAGACCTCCACAGGGTATTCTATACCACCTTTACTATACTTACCTCTATAGCAACACTGCTACTTAAGTTTTATTTTCTTAAAGTTCATTTTCTCTAGAAACTATGGAATGAATTTGACCTTAATAATTTGACATGACTTTCATTCTGAGACTATGTTGTTTGAATACAAGTGTTTAAATCAGAAGTATATCATCATGACTGAATTTTCACCCAAAAAGATTCTTTTCTTGTAAAAACAAAATTAAGTCAAAATAATGCCTTGATTCATTTTCTACATAGCAGACTTAATTGAGTTTCATTCTCTATTTTAATTTTACCAGTTAATTTTATTTGCATTACTTCTTTTTTATGAAAACATTTTAACAAAGACTTGTTTCATCAGTTACTTCTGAGCCCAGATATTAGCTTGTCTTTGTGACCTTTCTTTTGTGCCCATTGTTTCAACTATATTCATTTTTATAAGTAAAATTCTACATTTTTAAAAAATATATTTTATTTATTTTGTACAGAGAGGAAGGGAGAGAGATAGAGAGTTAGAAACATCGATGGGAGAGAGTCATCGATCAGCTGCCTCTTGCACACCACCTACTGGGGATATGCCCGCAACCAAGGTACAAGCCTTTGACGAGGATCGAACCCGGGACCCTTCAGTCCCCAAGCCGATGCTCTATCCATTGAGCCAAACCGGTTTCAGCAAATTCTACATATTTTTATGGCAAGAATAATCAAGCTTTAATTATCCCCCCAATTTCAAGTCAATAACAAATATTAACACTCAGAATTTTTATACATCAGTGTTGAATGTTTAACAATTTAAATATCTATATCAAACAAGAAGCAACAGTATGCATTTGCTTCTAACTTTACACCAAGAACATTAAAAGACAATGTAAACTCTAGGCGCTTGAGAAGGTCAAAATGATCTTAGAATGAAAATATCCTCACTTGCCGAAACCGGTTTCGCAAGGAGATATATCCCCTCACTCCATCAGTACACTCCAACAGAGATTCTTAAGCATGTTCTGGAAGTCTCTATGCTCTCTGTGGAACATCATGATATTTGCCTAATTTTGTGCTCAGTAACATATCATGTTATACTACACCCCATTATCAGCAAGTGGTGATAAGCATAAAGCTATTCAAGTACCATCAGTGAAAAAAAAATTAGCACCCTAGAAAAGTGTATTCAATAACTAATTTTTTCCTGAACTTTGGTGCTAAGCACACATTATGGAATATCAATAGTTATCAGGAGAAGTTCCAAGCACTGGCCTCAGCACTCTCAGATATAACACATGGGCTCTGGAGATGGAGATGTAAAAGCTGAGGTTAATGTAGAAAGAGGAGAAGCCAGCTACACGGAAACCTGGCTTTAGAGCCATCTGTTTTCACCCTCTCGGTGAACAGAAGAACAGAAACCAGCCCAGAAATGTTAGATTTCTTTTAGGTTACATTGCTACCAATTGGCAGGAGGAAGATGTGAATTCAGCTGGATGTTTTTGCAAAAGAGCTTGACCACTGAGCTCTTTGTCCAGGGGCCAATGCTAAAAGATCTGAAAGCCTAAAAGAGAACTGAAGGCACCTCTGCTGTTCGTTCCAAATTATTTTTTTCATGCATTTTATAATAATAAGTGTAGTCCTTTTCATCTGCAACCATTAGGCTAGGGTTTCAGGAGAAAAACTAGAGAACATCATAATGCTGTCCAAGACAGGAAGGGTTTGCATATCTGGAGAAAATGCTCTCCTGTTTTTAATCTGGGGTCATGATGAAAGAGACACTTTTGAGAAATTCAGACTTGGAAATGAATAGGTGCCTCAACTCATGCATGCCTGAATAATTTGGTCTTATTGTGCCTGTCTCTTAAACCATTTAACTGATAAAGATAGTCTATACCTTTTGCAAGAGAACTGGTAACTAGGTATTCTGAATCATAAGCCAGTAAAGCTCAACCCAATGGGGAAAAAAAAAAGTTATCATTGAACTATAGAACTTGCAGTATCTTTATCTTCTTTCTGGACTGATATACTTCACTGCCTCTTCCCAATGAAATAACTATCTCTTTTACAAGTGGTACAATTCCTGGTCTGCATGCTTTGTAACTTGATCAGTTTCTATCTTGGTCCTGTTTCCTACTACTCTTGAAAGACTTATAAAAGAAAAACTTCAAGAACTGAAACCTAAGGCATCTCTTGTGACAATTAACACTTTATCAGTCAACTTAAAATTGCAATGCACAGAGAGAGCTGTCCTCTAATCCTTACTTTTTACAAACACAATATTCCTGTCCCTTTTCAAAATATGGCATCTAGCAACCTGAATGTCTTCCAGAAGTACATTTCATCCCTCTTTCAAAATGTCCATGTCCAGCATCATAAAATAAGTACTTTAGTAATTTTGCTGTTGCTGTGTTGTTGTTTTTAATTTATTTTTCTAACTATTCCTTGAGACCTGACAGATATTTGGCTCTTCAAATTGGTGAAGTGAACTACCATAAATACTTCACTAATTGAGAAAGAAACCACCCAAGTTGCAGAGAGCTATGAAGTGACCTCTTACTAAAAGGGAGGAATTAATGTGAGTCACCACTTGCCTGCCATCTCTAATGTATTATTTCATACATCACTATTAAGTAAGCATGGCTCACCTGGAGCTCTCTGTTCCCGTCCTCTTCAAGCTGCTGGGGTTGCGGATGAGTTTGTCCAACATGTTGACAATCTGCCCAAATTTAGGCCTGTCACTCCTCTCCTTCTGCCAGCAGTCTAGCATCAGCTGGTGGAGTGAGATGGGGCAGTCCATTGGAGGGGGTAGCCGATAGCCTTCCTCAATGGCTTTAATCACCTATTGAAGAAACCAGGATGACATGTTAAGCTGCCAGGCAAGCTGTTAGCTGCTCACCCTCCTGATTGGCAAGTTCCCTGTACATTAAGCTGCCAGCAAGCTTGAACATGGGAACACCTCCAATTCCTTCACGGAAGCCAAGCTGGACCTGCCTATTGCTGGCAACAGGGTAGGCAAGCCTGCTGTGGCTATGAGGTGTTCTCAAAGGGCAGGCCAAGCCAACCTGAAGCTCGCAAGTGAAGATGCAGCAATGTTCCAGTAATTATAATCCAATTAGATCTGTAAATGGTGTTGGTCTGACCCTCAGAGGGCAATGACTTTCTCCACTCTGCTTCCAAACGTCTGCAAAATACTCTCAGGAAAAAGAGACCCTAACCTTGTTGTGAAAGGCCTTTCTTAGGAAGTATTAATAGCTGCCTTCAAAATGCAAGTCATTTTATATCATTTTAAGTCCATATCTTCTTGCTCAGATAGTTAATGGGTCAAAACCAGAGACCACCTCCGTGACCTCCCAATCCAGAAGACACTGCCAACCTCTGAAATAGCACACTTCTCGATCTTTCTAGATGCCCAGCCTTTTCTGTTTTTGGGAGACCAAAATACACCATCTTGTCAATTCTGTACCTCTTTCTTCATCTTACTTGGCTGTCATTTGACGCTGTCAAAGGTGCAGTATATATATATATATATTTTAAATGTCAGCAAAAACATTTTTTCATCTTTTTTGAGGGCATTTCTATGTTAAAGGAGTCACTAGCACATGTAAGGGAAAAAAATTAAAATGTAGATGATACTTGTCTTACTACCCAGAGTGGTCTCGCTGTCTAGTGAGACATAAATAAATCATTCAACAGTCTTTTTTCTAATTCTAATTTTCCTAATCTGTCTTCACAGGTATTACTTATTTTTCTTATTGACTTTTCTCTAAACCCCCCTTCTTCATGGCATAAATCCCAGTAATGCAATACAGCATGACTCATGCCAAATTTAAAGAGGGGAATTACTTCATAATTTCTTGGCGACTCATAAACTTTGTTTATGGGCATCCTATGAGATTCTGGAGGTGTTTTTGCCTGTTAGGGGATTTTTTTTAAAGTTTTATTTGTTTCAAATCAATCTTTCCACTCCACCAAAGCAATAGCTGTTAAGGAAACAACCAGTGGCTGTAGCCATCTCAATGACCACACTGCATCCACCCTGCGGTAGGTCTATTTACTGCTGAACAATTAGCCTTCAACATAACATGGTCAGTTCAGTTGGGTCCAGTTTCTACATACCGATATGACTTCTTGTCTTTTTAACCAGCAAACTGTTTCAATCACCTGGTGATTTGTTAAACCCTGTGATCCTCCCTCCATCCCCTCACGCCCCCCCCCCCCCATGTATTTTAGACAACATCCATCCTGGTTGTATTAGTATTTATTTAGTTCTCCTAAAGTAGACTTCTATATGCTACCTTACTGAACATTATTCTACTTATTTCCAGTGATCACACTAGGTCAGCTTGATTCCCTCATTTTATTTTATCTTTCCAGGAGCATGGTGTTGACTCTAGATTTGAGGAAAACATTTTATATTGAACTGATGACAATGCAAGCAACATTGGGCAAATGCCAGGATAACACAATTTCTTATAATCCCTCAGACTGTTTAATACTCCTTCATTAGCTCCCTATCCACTGCCAGCTTGCAAGATGACTTGTGGGTTAGCAAAGCATATTTTCTCAGTTTACTGCTGAATGTTTTGGAGGGCAGAGGATTAAAACCAACAAAAATCTTGATAAGTTTGACATATTTTCAACAGCTACTTTGACTCATTCACCATATGCTAAATTCTATTCATAAAAGTAATTTTCCGGTTACATTTCCTATTGATCCCTGTTCTACACAGAATCCAACACCAACACAAATACACATGAGTATTAGATCAATGTTATTTGCAGAGAGAAACAACTTCAGATGATTTTTCATGGATAAAACCAGACAACTTAAATTTTAAAACAGCCAAAATTATTTTAATACTAGAGTCCTGATGCACAAAATTTGTGCAAGGGGCTCAGTCCTTGAAGTTCCAGCTGCCTTGGCCCTTGCAATCCTGGCTGCCTAAGTGCTTGCAGCAGCCCTGGCTTCATCAGGAAGGTCATCTGGACAGTCTTTCTGCTGTTTGGGTCTAATTAGCATATTAGCTCTTTATTATATAGGATAATATAGAAACCATCAAAACTACAGATTCTAAAAGTACTTAGAGCAGGGAAACTAACAACATTGATAATCTGCTGTTATGAGCATTTGGCCATGACTCTCAATTGAAAAAGGGGGAACATTTAAGTATAAAATAAGTAAATACACACATCACTTGCTCACTTAGGTTGTTTGTCCTTGTCCCTCTAAAAATCTCTAACCCCAAACTAAATGTTGCCACAGAAAAGATACTTGAAGGTATACGCATAGCCTAGTCACATCAATAGATTGTATACCCTTTACCTCTACAGCCTTTTCCAGCTTGTAATTATCAGTTATGCTAGCTGCTGACTTTTCTCCCATCTGCTACCAACCTTCCTTTACAAAGTTTACAGATAATCCAATGTCAACACAACCATTTCTCTTAATCTGGTTAGAGAATTCATTTTGTCCCACTAGTCATGGAGTTCATTAGCTTCTCTATTGCACTGAACATCCTTTTATTGATAAGGCAACAGCATCCTGCTTCTTAAGTACAACTAGTTCTTCATTGAATTGTCAAGGCTGCACAAGTCCCTGTGTTTCAGGACACAGCAGATGGTCAGGTAACATTCCACCTCAGAGAGAATTTTTTTAAAAGATGACTTTTCCTAAAATATAATTTCTGTTGATATTGACTACCATGCATCTATATACTCTGTGCTAATATTTTAGCTCATATATTAAAATATTTCTTAAAGTTCAAAGACGGTTCATTTTATTATGATCTGATTTCCAACCCCAGAACTAAAACCTTTCCAGAATTAGCAAATATGTGTTCTGGGAACCCACTGCTAAAGGGTTTTTTTTTGTTTTTTTTTTTTGGTCCTTTCTCACTGGAGATGTTTGTAATTAAATTCTATTACTCTGGAATCTTATTAGTGTCATTATTGAATGCTTTACAAAAATTGCAGGCATTGTGGATACTCCCTTACGAAGTAGTCCAGATGGTACATTTAAAGGGATGTGCATAATTTACAAAGGGTCATTTAGTGAAGCTTTATTTTAGAGTCCTCAAGGGGCAAGCTCTAATTACAACTCTGTCAGCTTTAAAATATTCACTAGTTTTCTCGCAATAAACCTTTCATGTCAATTTGATCACATGTGAAATGTGTGTTTTTCATACATCTTTGCATTTTCTTCAAATTCAAAGTTTAATTTTGTTTCAGTTTGAATTTGGAAGTTATCCAAGTTCAAATACTGCTCCATGTCATGACTCTATGCATCTATCTAAGTCTATCTATCGATCCATCTCCCAAACGATAACACTTAGGGTTATGGTAATTTTGGTCCTTGAAATCTACCACTATAAGGTTTAACTATATTACTAGATACATTTGTATTAAGAATCCTGAGTTTAATGTATCGTTTCAAGCTCAACACGCACTCCATCATACACTAATGCGAAACTTCCTGAATCTCAATGTTAAGACATATATTTCAGAACATAAAGACTCACATCTTGATTGGACATATCCCAATAGGGTCTCTCTCCATACGACATCACTTCCCACATAACAATTCCGTAGCTCCATACATCACTTGCTGATGTGAATTTACGATAGGCAATTGCTTCTGGCGCAGTCCACCGGATAGGAATCTTGCCACCCTATGAACATTCGAGTCATAAGTTATTCCCAAAGTACATTACTGAGGTGCCATTTGTGATTCTGAATGTCTTTAATGTTTGCCAAGCAGGACAAAAGCATTCCCGAGATAGCTCTCCAAACAATAACAAGAGATTTGTTTATCTTAACTAAAGTCTTCCATGTAGAGACAGTTTTCCTGAGATGCTTTCTTTTGTCACAGGGAAGTGAACAAGTAATCGGTTTAATTATTTTTTAAAAAGCCTACCTATTACCTAAGCTCTGCTCAGGCAATGTTGTGGAGGAAAAGGAATCTCAGGTATTAGGAGATATGTGTTAGCTTTGGCATAGCAATGGACATGCAGCTGATATTTCTTTTGATTTCTTGTTAAATTCTGTCATCCAGCAGCACAAAGACAATATATAATTTTGTTCCTAAAATCATGAACTAAGAGGTTAAAATGAAAATTTTTATCATTCACATTCTCATCCTGCTCTTACACAGCATGAGAAACATGCTCAACACAGCTAGAAGAGAACACTGAATAGGCTCTTGAAGGAAGTCAAATAATGGCAGATGCTAGAGCCATTATTGACTTTAATAAAGTGAGGGCAGGATTTTGGTTACCATCTAATTAAAAAAGAAAACACCTGCAAAATTGGTAAAGCAATTGTATCCAGGAAAGTTAAAAATGCTTTATCCCCTCCTCCCCAAATGTCTTTTTTAATAGTTTCATATTTCCTGGGGTTCCATCCAGGGAAATTAATTCAACTTGAATCCATACCCTTAAGCTGTTCAAGAGGCCATTATTTAAAAGTCTGCTTTATTAGAGCGACTATAAACAGGACAATATATTGTACTGGCAATTGCACTGATTCACTGTCATTTATTCTGAAAACTTAGTGTATCACATTTATCACATTTAAACCTGTGACATGTAGGACACTTGGGCTGCCTCTGCCTTCCTTAAATATTTGGCAAAGGTTTTATCTATGTAAATGTATCATTCTAGAAAGCTCCCCTAATTTCTCTCTCTCTAACTACCGGGACAAAATAAAAGATCTCCGGTATTCACAAAGATGCATTATTTCCTAAATGAATGCTCTTGGAATTCAAAAGAAGATATGTATAAAGAATCAAAACTAGAACCAAAGAAACTGAACAATACAAGAAAAAACAATAACCAACCAGACAACAACAAAAAAAAGTCCAATGCTCAGGATTGCAGATGCAAAATGTAAGCATTAAATGCCTGGCAACTGTCTGCTTCATGTTGATTTTAACAGTGTCAGCCCTAATGGCCAATAACTTTTATGATTCTGTGCTTATTCCATTAGTATCTTATATTCTGATGGCCCAGCTAAGATAGCACAGCCATTAACTGTATACTGATAACTCTTAACTGCCCTCTAATCCTGGCTTATCTGCCAGTAGTAAAATGAAGGCCATTAGATACTGGAAAACTGTGCATAGTGTAAATGCTTTATAAATCCTGTATATACACTCTCAAAGCTTGTAGCCAAACAACTGGAAACATTGCTCTGTTCTGTTTGAAATAAGGTTATTTTTAATAATAAAAAAAGAATCAAATAAAAAACCTAAATAAAATAAAGAAAGCAAAAGTGTAGGAGGGAGGGAGGAAATGGGAAAAAAATAAGGTGTTAAAAAAATAAAATAAGTGAAGAGCTACTTTGTGGCTTTGTAAAGTGCACATATAGAGGCTGTTTCAAAATCTTTGTCTAGGAAACATGGTACAAAACTGGATGCATGGCTCTGAAGAGGCTCTGAAGGATGATGAGCCTATTGTAATCACAAAGGGCTTAAGTATCAAAGCAAGAAGAGTGGAACAGTTTCATCAGAGTGAAGACCCAGAGGTTGCAAATCCTCCTTACCCTTGTGGTATAAGCTGCTTCCGGATCATCCTCAAGTACTCGGGACATGCCAAAATCGGACACTTTGCAGACCAAGTTGCTGTTTACCAGAATGTTCCGTGCAGCCAGATCTCGATGCACATAACTCATATCAGATAAGTACTTCATCCCAGACCCAATGCCACGAAGCATGCCCACCAGCTGAATGACTGTGAATCTGCCGTCATTCTTCTGCGTATAAAGGAATTGGGAACAGTCTCATTAGCTTTAGGCCAAATTAATGTTTATCGAGCATTTCTATTATTTGAATCTTTTTTAATTATTGTATCCGGTATGCAATCAAATTTAACATTATTTGTGGGCCTTTTTTTTTTTTTTTTACCAAAGTTACTAATTCACTAAGTAAATTGGGTATATCCGAGAAGCTGCGCTTGCTTCCTGTGACAGATGGAAATTATCTAACTGTAAGAAATCTAAGACTCAAATAGTACCACAATATAAGAACAAATCAAATACATGGATTATCTAATAGTCTTTAAAAATCGAATCATTCTCTATTTCTCCCCTTCTTCCTTTGCCCCATTAAGAAATGCCACCAAATGCAATGGATGCAAGGAGAAAGTAAGATTTTTCTGAATACCAAAATTCTTGGGTTTAATATAAAGCAGTCACATACCCTGAGGAATGCATCCAAAGAGCCATTCTCCATGTACTCTGTTATGATCATCACTGGTTTACCTAGAGTTTTGAGAAAGAAAAACACAAACCCTTGATGAGCACTGCAGTTAATGAGATAAAAATGGGCTGTGCACAATTTTACTGCCAAGACACCTGTCTTGTGTGATCTAATTTAATTAAAACAAGCCAAGTTTATGCCTCAGCTGTGGAGAGCTGGGAATGAAATATTAAAAAGACAAGTAGGTTTAGGTTCCATCTGGAAGGTTAACCCTTTGCGTGGCTTGTTGACAAGGTCTTTAACTAAAGTGGCCTCTGGTGCCCAGGGAGCACATGAATGGATAATTGCTCTCTCAAGCCAAAGGGGAAGAAGATAAATGAGCAGGCCTTTTTAAAGGCAGAAAACAAAAAATCTTTAGGATAATTAATTAATTTTGTCCTCAGAAGAACCACTTGTGTGATGCCAAAGGAATCAATGGACAGATAAACTTTTTGTTGTTGTTTTTTTACTTATTTGGAGAAACCCAAGTTTCAGAAAGCAGTAGCTATGTTGATGACTTCATTGCTCAGACACATCTTAAAGATCAAGCATGAACAATATTAACTTCTTTTTTCTTTGCCTTGCTCAGATTAAGGATTGTATCTTTTCCCCCCCTCTCTTTCCCTTTCTATAAATAAACTTATTCTATTTGTTTCTTTAAGCCACCAACCTCAGCAATAACAAAATGACAGAAAAAGTTCATTAAACTATTTCATCCAAGAATGAATTCACACTCTTCCAGCCACCTTTTCACCCTCGCACCTCCCTGGTCCGACCACCGGTACCATCTTCAGCAATCTTAATTCAGTACTAGGACGTTCTTGTTCCCCACTCCATCCTCTCTTTCTCTCTTTTTTGGCAAAGAAATCAAAATCATTTTAAGGTTTGGGGAAGTAGGGAAACACCATTTTTATTTCACTTTAGTTTTCTTTCTAAGGACCTTAGGAAATCAGAACCATTCTTTAGTTTCTTAATCGCTGGCAATGGACTCAAGGCCTGAAATTCCTTTTTTCTAAAGGGGATTTGTGGGAGTGGGGAAGAGGGGGGCATAAATCCTCAATATTTTACTAAGGGAAGGTTTAGAGCAAAGAGAACATAAAAAATTCCCTGAGGGGAAAATAAAATGTTAGTTTGATAATAAATCAAAAGTATTCACACTTTCATTGATGTAATTGTGGACTGTTTGGACTTAGGGAAAATGGGCTGGGATGTGTCACTTGCTGAAAAGCACCCAAAATTGTTCTATACAAATACATTTCCCACCCAGAACCCCTATCAGAATAGACTGTTCTGGTGAGGGGAAAAGGACAGATTTTTGTTTCACAGATAATGATTTTGAAGAACAGACATTTTTAATTTCAATGAAGTACAGTTTATCAATTTGTTTTTTGATTGTGTTTTTGGTGTCTTAAGAAATCTTTCCAAAGCAAAAATTTTGGATTAGAAACTAATACCCTGGAGATTTTATTTTCAAGTGATGAAGGAAAGCTGGCAGAAAAAGCAGGAATGGTGGTGAAGACTGAAGGATGAGCCAAACCACTTCCAGTCTCTCTCCTTGATTGGAGAGGGTGAGGGTGGTCCCTGTCCACCTCTCCACTCGCCATCAATTTAAACAGGAAGCTCTTAGTTCTTAGCTTCATTTACCCTCTACATCTGTGACCACAGTCTTCCAGACAGACACAAATGCATCTAAATGAGTTTTAATTAACCTGCCTCAATCAAACGATACTTTGTCAATTGGTGAGAAAGGGTGACCCTCCTGGTGGAGGGTTAACACCTACTTCCATTTCACCAGACCCTTGGAGGTGCAGAGAAGAGAGTGGAGGATCCAAAAGACAGGGGGGTAGCGGAGAGAATTTATAGTCTCCTTGTCAATTTTAAAAAGTTACTCAAGAAACTGCTGGTAATGAATTCACACTCTTCCAGGCCACCTTTTCACCCTCACACCTCCCTGGTCCGACTGTTGGCACCATCTTCACAATTTTTCTACATTCCTCTTTCTACTTATTAACAGTATCCATTTGTCAGAATCTTTATGAGCTCTACAAGAGAAATAAAGATGAATATCTGCAAAAGCAAAGGGGCTTATAAAATCGGCCAAGGCTGGGCTCATGGGTGGGGGCGGGTCCTTCTCCGGAACAGAGGGGGATGTGGGTGGCTAGCGGAGAGGGGGAAGGGGGGAGGGGGGAGAGACAGCGCCTCTGGTGGAAATTTTAAATCATTTTAATTCAGTGACAACTGCATTATGCAAATGCACCCAGTCGTTTATAACAGTTACAGCTGTAATAGCTGTGGGTTTTAGAGGCACGGTGGGACTTTCACACAAAGATCCCCTGTTTCTTCTCTCTTCTACAGAGGTGCTGTGAAAATCACTGTCTGCCGCAGGAAAAACACCCCAGGCTGAACAGAGCCTCCATTTGAGAAACTGGACCTGCAGAAGTATTTAGACGGAATGTTATCTTTTAATTAATGTAGTGAAGGACTCTGGGCAGCCCCTAAGTCCACGGGCAACAAAAAAATATCCTGTCTGTAAAACTAATCTTAAAAAGCAAATAGAGCTATTCTATGCTAATTATAGCCTTCACCTTAGTTGGAAAAACTGTATATCCTTCTCTCTAAAGTTCTTTTTTTTTTTTTTTTAAGAATTCTGAAGATAGGGAAAGATGTATTTCTTAAGACATAATAACACCAGCTAATGCTTGAGTTTGTTTTATTTTTTATGTGCCAAACATTATGATAACCACCCTGAATAATTCATCCAAAATAACCTTGTGAGACTAGTTCTATGTTATCTCTATTTTACAGGTGAGGAAACTGAAATATTGAGCAACAAGTCAAGTCCACCTGCTTAGCCAACATGTAAATCTTAGGTCCCTAGGCCAAACGTAGGTTTTGGAAGTGTGGTCCCAGGAACTGTATGCACCTTTGACTTATCTTACAGCTTGCAATTTGAACTCATGGACCTCACTTCCCCTGAAGATGAGGTTCAAGGAAACTGATTTGACATGTTTTTTAGGATTCTGATGCATGTTTAAGTGTGTATACTTTCCCACTTTTTAGTAACCTCTTTTTCTCTTCTTAAAGATTTTATGCCTTGTGTCAGACCTCCCCCTCACCCTCAGGTCTAATGTCCAAAGTTTAATATTTAACCAACCCTTCCTCCCTCCCTTCACCTGTTGGAGCAGCCATTCCATACAGGATGTCTGAGGATGCATTTCACAGGCACCTCAAATAAAGTAAGAGGCACCCTGGGCTTCCTGGAGACATAGCCCCAGGCTTACAGGATCCTTGACTTGTAGGAACTGTAGGGGGTCTGTAGGAGGTACTATGGCTCCTGGAACAGAGCCACCTTCAGTAATAACCACTTGGGTTGCGCTGTCCATGTGGCATTTTATAAGTTGGTCTAAGCCAGCCTCACCAAGGCATTCAGGGTTTGCTTTGTAAAATACATCTGTGGAGCTGTGTTGTGTTTTAAATGAAGCGTGGTTCGCAGGCTCAGGGAATGCTAATGGACTAAAAAAAGGAAAGTTCAACCAGGTGTTACTGGAACTGGGTGCTGAACTGCGGCAGCCATAAATCAGGCGGAGCAGACAAGCAAATCCCCCAGCCTAATAAAGATTCCCAAGATCCACTCCCCGCATCTGGAACCTGAAGCCTCAAGCACAAGGCGTGGCGAGGTTTTTGTTGTGTTTTATATGAAAAGTACTTACAATTCATTGTGTTTACCATCTGCTGGTGCCTACCTTATGACAGTCAGTTGGGTCTAGCAAAGACCTGAAAGATGGCAAGGCATACCAAAAATCTGCAATACTAATTCCCCTAAAATCTCACACAAGCTGCCTTGGAACCCATGGTATCAGCCTAAACCATAGACCCATTTAGAGCTGACTACAAGATTAATGACTTGTCCTGCGCTGATTTCCTCCTATTAGCAATCAGTGGGGCTGCTCCATCTGTCATTTCCCTGGAAAGAAATGTGTGTTTAATTTGCCAGAATTTGGCTTTGTAAAGGGAGTGACCCGCATACATTTGGTGACGACGCCTTCCATGTGAATTATATTCGGGTGGTCAAACTGTCCCATGATGCTGGCCTCGCTCAGGAAGTCTCTCCTCTGTTTGTCTGTGTAGCCGGCTTTCAGCGTCTTAATGGCCACACAGATCTCTCTCTTGCCAGGCACTTTGAGACGGCCGCTGCAGACTTCACCAAATTCACCTTTGGGAGAGAAAGAGAATTGACTGTGGACCAGAAACACATTCGAGATGAAAGAGTAATGGCAAACATTTGTTGAGTGCTTATTACCCGCCAGGCACAGTGTTCATGTTTTACATAAAGCCAGGAAATGTCATGTTCACAGATATTTACACACAGACATGGACACACAATACACCAGTGTGTATTTATATAATCACATGTGGATATTTAATATCCACAAAGAAAATAGGTTTATTAGACAGACACTTACCAACTCCTATGACTTTTTCTATCTTAATGCAGGACGCATCGATTTCTTTGGCAAATTCTCGAACTGCTTGGTTGGGATCCTCGTATGTAAAAGGATCCACATATGTTCTAACACCTAAGGAATAGACACATGATAGAGTGACCAAACACTTCTTAGAAGCCAATAATAAACTTAAGTCTACAAATACTTAGCCCAGGCAATGTTTTCTCAGCAAGATAAAAAAGACTTGGTGTAGACATATGACAATGTTTAAATTCTTGCTCTGGTTGTCATTAGTGGGTAAACAAAGAATCGTTAACTACTTAAGAGGCTGCAGCTCTCCTGACTTCCTGAAATATCTTCACACTTCAAGGACACATTTTTAAAAAACAACTCATCCCAGGGAGAAAATGAGAATCTCTATAAGGAAATTTGGAATGTGTTAGCTGAATATTGTTTTCTCATCAGTTGTCCGTATCCTGCCCACCATCTCCAGCTATCCTAAAGGAGTAAGACAATAAGAACTTTCTATTTCAACTGGCCTGGTCTTCATGGTGTCACCCTTTTGCCCAGGATCTGGACCAATTAAAGATGTGACCAACAATTAACAAAGCAAGATTAAACCTAGGTTAAAATGGACAGGAGGGATAATCTCAGGAAGATTGATTTGAGAATATAGCCTCTATATGGAGCTCCACTTCTTTTCTGTTTTGGGAAAAACTAAAGACATTGAAGTTCATCTGGAAGCTTTAGCTGAGGAAATGTAGCCTAACTGTGAATGGTTTGAATACCAGAAAGTGTAATTTAGCCTTATCCCACAGCCACTTGCAAAAAAATTCAGAATGTGACCTCTGGAACCACAGGGGGATGCACTATAATTCCTGAGAACTTTCTGCTGGCATTCACACCTCTCCTTTCCCTGCCTGAGCTCCCTGGGGCTTTGGGGCACTGAGAGGGTGTAAGACAATTAATGTCCCAATCCCTTTGATTTTTTAGGCCTGTCAGTCTTGTCCTTATCACAGAAAAATTACATTTCTGTTTTTAAAAATATATACATCATGCAAATTAAAAGGTGTTTTAGAAAGAAAACAATTTGAATAACAAAAAGTTGTCAAGCCCCAGGTAGCCTTTAGAACTTTAGATACTCTACTCAAGAAAATCTTTGTCAGGATTATTCTTCCTACTGCTAGTCTCTCTCTCTTCCTTTTACCTCCTGGCGCTGTCTAATATGGGACCTATTAGCCACATGTTGCTATCTAAATGTAAATTAGTTAAAATGCAATAAAATTTACAATTTACTTCCTCTTTCACACCAGCTACTTTTCAAGTATCCAATAGTACATGTGGCTGTTGGATGGTCTGAATTCTACATATTTGGGGAGTGAGGGGGAAGAAGGCATAGCAATTACAGTTCAATTCCTTATTCCTTCTCCAAGATTGTTACCTGCCATCCAACTACAAAAATGAGCCAGCTAGACCAATACCTTTTAAGAGTGGAGGATAAAAGAAGGGGGAAAAAGGGGAGAAAAAAAAGACTCTAAAGGAATTTCCCCAACCCCCATCTTTAATCTCACTTTCAAGAATCCCCATTCACCTGTTTCAGTTTGATACCGCGAAGTATATTATTTAGGTAATTATATAAAATAATATAATATGAATAGCCATGTGACTATTATTCAGATATTTCTAAACAGGAGATGTGGTCTAAAATTAAAATTATTTCGAATCCAATGTTTTGTACCTTGATTCAAATGTTTCTCCTCATCTGCTTCTTGCTTGGCTTTACTGTATTTACTCCGTCTATTAAAAAATGTTAAAATAGAAAACAAATTTTAAAAACTGAAAGTACTTAAGTTTTTGATACCATAATATGTCAGGCAAATATAAATACACACATTTCACAGATGAGAAAGTTGAGGTTTATGGGAGTGAACTACAAGGCGAATAACCTGTCATCTTGTTAGTGAATCATGGTTTCTAGCACAAGCAGTCAGAGTGCAGAGCCTTTGCTCCTAACCACTGTATTAAATTGAGGTGATAAAGCAAATATTTTATAAAAAATTACAACTTCAAATCCTCAAAGAAATGTATATTATTGAAGAGAGATTATAAATTTATTGGCTAAGTTCCACATATGTATTCTAAATTAAAATAGTTTTCATGGAAGAATGTTGCATAAATCAAATAGCAATAATGTTCAGTATGTGATTGGTAACTCATTATCATATTATATGATATTCTTAAAGCAATAGACTTGTGGTTATTGGTTTCAGCTGCTGCATACAAAATCCTCAATTATTATTGGAACTTTCAAGAGTAAATATTTTCTTTGTACTAGATTACATTCCTCAAGAGCTTGTAGAAAACTTGCAAAAGTGAAAATGAGAAGTTTCCATTTGTAGTCTAATTCTCTTTCCAAAAAATGGTGTATGGCCTTGCAGTTGGCATTCACTATTTTTCCAAATATCCTCTAGGAGAGAGATCTGGCTTTGTTATAAAGTTCTGGGGTTCAGCCAAAGCCAGTTTGGCTCAGTGGTAGAGCATCAGTCTGCAGACTGAAAGGTCCCAGGTTCAATTCCGGTCAAGGACATGTACCTTGGTTGCGGGCACATCCCCGGAAGTGGGTGTGCAAGAGGCAGCTGGTCGATGTTTCTCTCTTATCGACGTTTCTAGCTCTCTCTCTCTCTCCCTTTCTCTCTGTTAAAAATCAATAATATATATACATATATAAAGTTCTGGGGTTCAGAAATCTTTGTTATACATAAAACTTAAGCCAGTAGTCTTAATATTTGTGCACCCAATGGGATCCCTCAGCCTGGCCTGTGGGGATCGGGCTGAAACCAATTCTCTGACATCCCCTGAGGGATACTGGATTGTGAGATGGCACAGGCCAAGCTGAAGAATCCTATTGGTGCACAATCAGGGCTGGGGAGGGACTGTAGGAGGGCTCCAGGGTGTGTCTGACCCCTCTTACCCAGTTCTGATTGGCTGGACCCCAGCAGCAAGCTAACCTACTGGTCAGAGCATCTGCCCACTAGTGGTGAGTGCTTGTCATAGCAACTGGTCAAATGAACAGTTGAATACTTAGCATATTAGGCTTTTATTATATAGGATGTATGTGCACATATATATATGTATATGTATAAATATCACATAAAGAAATTGAAAAATTAACTCAGTTGCTATTATAGCTCTTTAAAATTTGAGTTGAGGCCAAATTAATGCATACAATGTGTACATTTATGTTTCTGTCAAAAATGTCAAGTTGACATTGGAGTTTATAATCATCTTGTGTTTTCTCAGAGCTTTAAAGAGATGAGTCAAGACTGTTGCCTATGAGGAAACTGAAGCTCTGAGGTGACAAAGGTTCCCTGAAGGTCCTGTTGGAATCTGGTAACCAATTCCTGACTGTGAACAAGTAGAGAAGGCAGATGATTATGTAAAGGGAGAACCTACCAGGCCAGGCAAGGGCAGAGGCAGCCCTTTCATGATCACATGTTCCAGGCCTCTCACCTGCATTTCTCTCCTCATTGTCAGCAATGCAGGGGCCAGCTCCACAGTCAGCCCCTCAAAGCCAACAGATGTCCCTCAGTGTGTGTAATTCCCTTGCAAATAATAACATCTTGCACTGTTGCACTGTGTTTAACTTTTCAAAGTGCTCTCATTACTCCTCCCTTAACTGTTTGCAAAGCAGGAAGCAATTTAGTAAACAGAGACCCAGTTTCGAGTTAAAACTCAAATAATAGCTTGCCTTTTTAGTTTGTAGTTCACTTTTGGAACAACCTTCCCTTCTACTATTTAGTTGCATCTTCATCATAACTCAATGAAAGCAATCAGGCAGACAGATACACACTCAGGCCCACTGAACAGACAAGGGGATGGGGGCAGTCAGGAAGAGATTCACCCATGACCCTCTCAGCAAGTACTGGAATGTGTCTGCCCTGATTTGGCTCACACTCTCATAGTGCAGATGAAGTTATACGATGACATGAGAGTTAAATATAAGTAATTTTACATTTTATATCAGTAAGTCCACTTAAATTGTATTCCACTCTGCTCTCAAAATCCACTTCCTCCTCAAGGAAACTAAACAAGTTTAAGAATGCTGCAATCAAACATTAGGAAGAAAGATGTAGTCCTTTCCAAACCTCTCCCCACCCTTCCCCTTTTAAAGGAAACAGGAGTGTTAAGTCAGGGACCATGAAAACAACATTTCATGTCAGGGAAACTCCTCGTGGCTATGTCCCAAGGAAGTGACAGGATCCTGCCAGCCTCAGAGATTATATCTTATCAGAGCTCCTAAAGGCATTATCTAAAATTACAAGCATATCTTTTAAACCACTTTAGATCTCCAATACTGATTGGAACATTTCTCCTTTAAAAAGAGGCAGGGGAGGGGAAATGCATGGAGCAGGAGAGCTTTGGTACCAGCTGAATTCATAAAGAAACCAGGGGCCTCCAGCTGCCCAGGGGTGGGGTTATCTGTTTCATATCTAGCACATTCATTAAATACGTGCAAAGCCGGAGGAAATGCAAAATGGCAGGGATCATTAATTATAAGGCTGACATGTCCATCCTTTTCCTCAGACTCATACACCTGGAGGAGAGATTAAATTAGAGGCAAAACTTCTTTACTTCGCTGTGTGACTCGAAGGAGAAGACCCTACAAAAGTACAGGGAATGCTGGAAAAGAAACACTGGCATAACTGTTCAAAGGCTAATTATAGCCTGTTAGCTTTTTAATAATACCTTGGAAACTCAAATGCCTAGGTCCTGCTCTCCCTTTGTCACCTGATGACCTTTCTCCTGGTCCCAGGGGAGGACAATGCGGCCTTTATTGTCCCAAGAAAGCAAACCCACTGAAGTGTATTATTGGGTCAGCCAGCCTGGAGGAAACCACAGGCCGGCTGACCGAAGATGTGCTAACTCCATACTGATCTCCGAGGCAGAGCACCTGAACGGCAGAAGGAAACCTTTGTTGGAGAATTTCTAATTATTCAGATGTGGGCAAGCTGATTAAAAAGGGGCAAGGAGGGGAGTGGTTGGTTAGCGAATGCTCCAGAAGGAAACATGAAAACTTTCAGCTGCAGGAGTCACAGAAAAGCGTCCCCTCGGCAGGTGAGACTTTTTTGAAAGCCAAGGAGCTAAGCCTTCCTTCTGTCAAAGGGATGCACAATAAGGGTATTAAGGGACTTTGTTGAGGATCAGCAGGAGTTCCCGCACTGCCCTCCCAACCAAAGCGTTGTTCCTGGCACCTTGACTATCCTCAATAAAGCAAACCAAACAGCGGAGGGGAGAGAGCAGGGGCCCTGCAGAAACCCAGCTTTTATTAAAATACTCACTTTCCTGACCAAGTGGATGGATTTGATTGATGTGGTTTACTGTTCCAAAACTAATTAGTAAAAGGTAAGTAATTTATTCAGCTAAAGTGCAGATTAAAGATAAGGCAAGGCTATAACTAGCCGGGTCCAGGAAACTCTTTCTAGCATTCAGTGGCATCACTCAAGATGATTCAGAGAAGCCATCCTTCTTTATCCCCTTCCTTAAGTTGTCATTGTTCTTGAACCAAATGATGGCTAAATGTTCTTCACAAGCAACATTTTGAAACGGTTGGAAATGAACCGTACGATTGCAGGAAGGTTGTTTTGAAATGTTCCTGCAGTACCATCTGCCCCCTAATTGTATGAATTTACATGGCTTCATCAGAGCCCATTTAGGCTACCGTTTAAGTGTATTCGTTCCTACGTGATCATAATATTCCAATGAGGACACCAGGGAAAGGCAGATACAGACTGAATGGTAACTGGTTTAGCACTACTTGAACAGTTGGCTTCAAAGTGGAAAACCTTAACCTTCCTAAGAAGACAAAACCAACTTGCAATGTCTGACTTTACAGTATGCATTAGATTTGACATTAATTCACAGATTACAACTATTACCAACATCACTGACAGACTCTTACAATTTTGGTATGATAGAATTGTGGATGTTAGCTTTTGATATAGGTCAAATTTCCAGTTAAGAAGACATTAAAATAATCTATCTATGCCAGTGTTGGAAATCAGGAGAGATGGATTCCTTTCTGGATCAAGCAACTAACCAGCTGTGTGACCTTGGTTCAGTTAATTGTTTAACTGCCTCTCTAGTCCTCAAATTCATGATATATGAGATGGCAATGGTAGAATGCCTCAGTTTCCTAAACAAGAAACACTGGTGTAACTCCCCCATATATTTTGTCATAAACACTTCATTTTTTTCCCCTTAAAGTCAATTTATTTATTATAACTCTAATATAAATGGAAACCCAGAGTCACTTGCAATCATCAGAAGGTCAGTATCAAAGCAGTTATGCTCGATTATCAGCTAGTACTTATCTCTGATCTTAGAAAAGAGTCATCCTGTGTTCTGGTCCTTTCTTAAAAGGGATTTCCATACTCAAACAATAAAGTACTATTTGGGGAAGACACACTAGCCTAAAGCAACCCAAATTAATACTATTTGTGATGCTTCTGGAAGAAACCCAATTAAATCATTAATATAAAGGGGTGGGGGTGGAATGTCAGAAAAATTTAACACATTTCATCATTCATCCTAAAGGTTCTGACCTCATCATTGCATATTTTAATGTCACTGTTAATAGTGTTTTCAAAAATCACTTCAAAAAGCAATAAAGTGGGTGCACTGCAGAGTTTACAAATATGTACATATAGGCAAATGGGGAAATGAGGCTGTCTGCTAAGAGAATGTGCATTTATGGTTTGCAGTCTAGGGATAGCATCCCATGGGGTGCACACAAACTGCTGCACTTTATAAACAACCCAGTTAGCAAGTACAATTGTCTTCTCCAAAAAGCTGACAGAATCCTTAAAATATCACTGGAGTGATGAGGATGATACTAATCAAAGACACCTATAAAAAAAGGTAAGTTAATTTGCTTAACATAATGTGGGCAGTAAAAACATACAGTATATCATGGTCAACGTACTTTGTATAACATATCATTTTAAATATATAAAGTTTATAAACTTAGTAACTGGACCCTATCACTAAGATCCCTAAATATTTATACATCCAAGTTAGCCAAAAGAAAAATGTGGATCTTTTCATAAAAAAAAAAATTAAAAAAAAAATTGAGGCTTATTTTGGCTTGCCTAAAGCTCAGGCTTCCTAGCATAATCTCAATGTGATGAAATAAATGACACAATTACTAGTAAAAAAAAAAAAATACCAGCTGTGAGCCTGAGGCCATTTCCTCTTTGTTAAAGGACTAATTAGCACCAAACAGACTTTGTTTTTGAGGTAATCAGACTTTCTCTCGCCCTGTGGGTCCCTGCCCATGTTAAAACCCTCAGATGCCATCAGCAGTGTTGGATTCAGGTGGAGAGGCATCACTCTGTAAGGGATCCGTCTCCAGCACCCATCCTGCCATCAATATCATGTGGCTCTAAGAAGCCAAAAGCAGCCCCATCACTTTCCAGGGGAGAGTGTCTCATGTTGCTTTCCTGGACTGCTGGCTGCAGTGTAAAGAGCAGTGTGACGAGATCACTTTGGGGGTACCATTTACCATCTTGCACTTGCACTCTCACTAAAAGCATGGGCCAGACTTTTATCCGCAAGACCTGTCTCCTCTCTCTTCACCTGTTCTCGTCCCACTTCAACATTTGTCGAGGAACATGACAAAGCACATGCCTGCGTATGAAGAAGAATCAGCTGAGTGTGCATCCGCCCCAGCAAAACCTGTCGCTACCTGGCTCCCGGCAGCTTCCCCATGACAGCTTTATGGCCGCCACTAAAGCAGAATCAATAGGAGGGCAAGGGGTTGACATTTCATTTTCTAAAAAATGATCCATTGAGGACCAATCACCAAGCAGTGTTTATCAGCCTTGGGAAGTGCCTTTTTTTTTTTTTTTTTTTTTTTTTAAATGGGGAAGAAGGGACAGGAATCATCGCTGGGTAACTCGACAGGCTCAATTCTCTAAGGTGGAGACTCATAATTGGAAATCCGATGCATCCTGCTATCAATCCTGCCTTAAATAATAAAGTGATCAATAAAAGCCGAGAGGAAATTAAGTCATCAGGCTTGCGATGCTATTTTCTAGAGCTATGGCTTTTAATAAACTTGTCTTCCTGCATTACATTTCCCTTTCTTTTCATCCAAGCAGAAGAACATCCAAGAGAAACTTATAACGAGGTGACATGACTCTGGTTTGACTGCTGTACTCAGGGCAACTTAATTTTTTTTTTTTTTATGTAAATCTCAAAGAAATTTGAACTACAACTAGAAAATGCTTCCAACCAACATCAGAGAGAAAGTGAGACACAAGAAGAGACCCACTTTCTGGAAACATAAGTTGTATCAAATGGTCCTGAGAATCACATGGTACTGGATTTCAACCAAATATTTTTTAGAGATTAAGGCAATTAATAATGGCTTTCTATTTTTAGACTTTTAAACATCTATATTTTCTGATAACAAAAATTGTTTACATATACTGTGAAATTTTCAAATGCAGAAATATGTGATAATGAAAGCAAAACTCTAATTTTTATTCTCCCCCATCTGACCCGTTGTTTCCCACTCTCAGAAGGACATATATTAATGCATACCAATCCCCAAGTGTTTATATGCCTGGCACGTATATACATACACAAAATTAAATGGCAATGGACAAGAAAGCAGTCCATCTTAATTTACTTTCAAAATCAATGCCAGGTAAGCAAAGCACACTGGAAATTCAAGTTCTGTTCCGGCCAGTTGAAGGTTCAGAAGGCCAAGATGTACCAATACATCAGGCAAGAATACATGGGTATGTGCATTATAGCAACAAGGATGAGAGTCTGTGGTAGATTTAACTTCTTCAGGATGGAACGAGATATTCTGATCAAACTTACCTAGTTTAGACTTTGCACCAATAAGAACTAGCAGGATGACAAATGTAAATTCCCACATACCATGAGTTGTTCTATACTTTGTTATAGTGACCAAAATTGATCTCTACATAATAGGCATTTTGAAGAGTGATATTAATAAATACATGTGACAACTGGGACCATATCCAGGCAAATTAAGCTATATGGTCATCACCTTAATTATAATGTATCACCAAAGGGAGGGAAAAGCATGGTCACTTCCCAAAAGGCATATTTGGAAATAGCCAGAGGCATATTTGTGACATCAGGGAGAGCATCAACAGGAGAGGCAGGGAGAGATAGTGCCACAGTGGCCTGAGAGCCCCGCATGGCTCCAGGGTCCCAGAGAAGCTCTGCCACTAGGCCAGTGTCATGACTCGGACAAGCACTACATCCTTCTGTGTATCATTTTCCTCTCCTATATCATGAAAGGTTTATGTTTAAGAGGATCATTTTGACGTTCTTAGGTTGTATATTTTTTGTGGGTTTGTTTGTTTGTTTACCCCAAAGCCTCACCTTGTGAAACGGTGGATGGTACAGGGATGAGGCCAGAGAAGGGGCAGCTTTGCTCACAGGAGATAAAGAAGGCCCAGATGTGGGCACAGGTTGAAAAAGAGCAGCTGTCCCCCCTACCATCCCTTTTCCTCCAGAGACTCCAGGCAAGGTTAATACGTAGATGGAGGCAACAGCAGTAAGAAAAACTGGTCCAAAGGAATATGCCGCCAAACCATTTTTAGTTCTTTCTTTTCTAGGTTGTTTTTAAAGTTTCAAGTTAGACTGTAAAGCTACAGAGACTAAGTAATCCACGATTTTATATTTCCAAGAATAATGCTATGCCTACAATGTACTCAATGGATACTGTCTGGAAATGCACCTACTGTGTGCCAATATTATCTACTTTTGTCTATCAAACGTCTCCATCAATAACTCTTTGAAGCAGATATCATTACCCCTGTTTAATAAAAGGAAAACCAAGGCTCAAGGTGGTTAAGTAATTTAGCTAACAAATGGCAGAGGACAAATTTTGGCCCCCACATTTCATATGGCTTTCTCTTTTTTGCCTTTGGCAGTAAGTCCAAGTTTAAGAGACATATAAATGTAACGCCTTACAGCTTAGAGTACCCAAAAGTCTCCCGCCAGCTTGCTTTGCAGCTTGGTTTCCTGGACTTAGTTGGGTCTTTCCAGGCTCTCAACTCTGAGAGCTCCCACCAGGGTATAGTAGGCAGCTCCAGGAGGGGTGTGGGGAGATCAAAGCAAAGAGAATGGGGCTTGAGATGCAAATGTTGTGTTTATAATGCTAATCAAAGCCTCAGCTTTGTGTGGAGGGGACAAAAAGCTCCCTCATAAAAACTGGGAAGGGAGGGTGGTTCAGGGAGTGGGTTAAGTGCTTACCTCCTGCTGATGACAAAAGCTGCGATGAGAATGACCACTAGCACCACACTGCCAGCTACAGAGACCAGAAGGACGGTGGAGTTGGCCCCATCTCCAATGATCCGAGAAGGCACTGGTAAAGACAGTCACACAAGGATCACCTTTGGGAAGGTCCTAAGAGGGCGCACTTCTGACTGGGTCACAAGTTTCAAATGTCTGAAGCCATTGAGAATGCTCACAGCCTCTTTGCCCTTCGTTAAGTATTCATGCAACATCGTTTTCTAAGGCAGTCTTAATGAGACAAGGGCATTCTTTTCATAATTGCACGAAAAAATCCAACTAAAAGATTCTTATTAAATACTATGGTAAACATCAATAGGAAGGTGTGTTTTTTTCTTTCTTTTCTTTCCTCTTCTTTTCCTTTCTACCCTTACATAGAAATCTGATGCATTCCTTAGTGGGGAATTTCAGAAAGGACAAGCAATTTTGAATGTTCCTCTCTCTCCCACACCTCCCCAAACTCTCAAAAACCTGCCTATTAGTGTCCAGTTCAAAGGCCACTTCCTCCTTGAAGGCTTCCAGGATAATCCCAAAGGATGTCAAACCCATACCAATGTAATTCTGGAGTACTTTCTCCTCTGCTTTTGTTTTCATCCTTTTTAAAAAATTTAATAATTTGTGAATATAATTACTTTCTAGAACTGAGGTAAAAAATTCTGCTCCACCACCCCTTTATAAAGTGGGCTCAATTTTGGTTAGTTAATTATGGATATAGAGAAACCTTATGTAACCTGTTTATTGATGGGTAACACCCTCTGTTAATATTTTTTACTTAACCAGTTGTCCAACTCACAGTGTGGAAAGAGTTGATATATTTGTCCAAATGGACTTAAAGAAAACAAAACACACATATAAAAAATGGTCTGACTTGATTTAGAAAGATTCCTAGAAATAAATAGGAAAGGGAAAAAAATGGCCCCTTTTCCAGTCTTCCCAGGAGGAAAATATCCTAGCTATGCAACTCTCAATTGGTTCAGCAATCTCATTTCTCATGGTTTATAGAATGCTGAACACAAACAGAAGAAAAGAGATTTTTTTTTCAATCACATGAAAAACAGGCCAAATAATATTATTTTAAAATGCTCTTCTCTAAATAGCATGAGGTTTTCCAAGTTACAGGCATTGTTCATTGCAACAAAATGTTTGCCTAATCAAAAAGGATGCACAGCACCTTGGATTTCCCTGTAATAGGATTTGCCCTGCATGGTCAAAAGAACCTCAGAACTTCTTACCTGTGTTGGTTGTGACCTCCAGGGGCTCACTGAAATCTCCATAGCCAGCTGCTGTCCTGGCCCGAACATGGAAAACATAGGAAGTCAGAGGATTCAGACCTTTGATATCAGTGTTCCTGGCAGCGGTCCGGACAATGCGATAGCTTCGCTCATTCTGATCCTACATTGTGGAGAGATAAAATAGAGGAAGATGGCAAAAGAAATCCTCTACTTATCGAGGCACAAAATTAAAGGAGCCATGCCAATCTACTCAGAATCTTAAAGAAAGCAGGGTTTGATTAACTTTCTAAACACTATATTCTCTTCAATGTTAGAAGTACTATTGTTACTTCCAGCTGTTGAAAGAAATGTACAGTTGTATGATCATTGTTGACACTGAGCACATTCAGATCTTTACTCATGATCTTTTTCAGAAAAGATAATTAGGTGATGGTTGATGGCTTTTCTCACTCCACCCACAGCAATTTAACAGAAATAACTGTAAGAAAGTCCCTTGTCTTTTTCTACTTTTCTGCCTAGAAAATATCAAAAATGTTGTAATCTTGTTTCAATGAAAAAAAAAAAAAGCAAACAAACAAAAAAACCAACCCTGTCCCTTTTCCTGTTTTTAATAAGGAAGATAATAAATAATTATCTATAAAAAGAGAAGACAATTGCCCATTTTTTCTAGACAACATTGAATGCAAATAGCTTTCTTCAGAATTTTGTCCTTTAGAAAGAAAAGTTATTTGTAAAAATAATGTCTTTCTATAACTTTTAGAGGCAGAAGAATATAATATTTCTTTCCTGGTTTTCTATTAAAAGCCACCAAAAGCCACACCTTGATTCTGAATAGCAGTGATCTACTTAAGCAGATCATCATTTCATCTTTCATAAGTAACTCTCCTGATAGGTTACAGATTAGAACTAGCTGTTTTGATTTCCATTACTAGAAAGAAAACATAGTTACATTAGAATGCAATGTACTTTTTTCTGTTTTTGAAGAAAACCAACTTAATTCATCAAATTCATAACTGGATTTAATTATGAGCAAAATGCATTTGGCTTTGAGATTCACTGGTATTTCAGGATTTATAATTGGCCAAAAACCAGATGAGAGAGAGAGAGAGAGAGAGAGAGAGAGAGAGAGAGAGAGAGAGAGAGAGAGAGAGGAGGGAGAGAGAGAGAGAGAAGGGAAGAAGGAAAAGAAAAGAAAAAAAAAGGAAGACAGAACTTTGCTCATTCAAGTAATACCTTCTCATAATACTTGACTTCATACTCTAAGATCACTCCATTGGGCCGATCTGGTTCTAGCCAAGCCAGGGCAACACTGTATCTGGTAACTTCTTTAGCCTGGACCAAAGCAATAGATGATGGTGCTATTGAGAAAAACAAAAGAAAATAAAAATAAAACACAGCTTATTTCGGGGGGCGTGGGGGGGGGTAGGGGAAGGATAGAATAGTGGCATCAGTCAGTAATTTCATTTTACTTAAGAAAAGTATAAAGGATTGTCTTGTCTTTCTCCCAAACCCCATTTTGCTCTTCCCCTGAACAAAAGTATACCATACTCCATTTTAATGGTTTTCTCCAATATCCCTTTGTGCATGGTTTGTCCTAGAAAAATAATCTCTGAAGTAACAGCCTGGTAGTCCACAAGCCTACAACATCACATCCACAGCACCTGTAACCATTCTTCTTAAAAGGCTGCAGGTATAGAGAATGCTGTCTGCTTCTGATTTTCTGGAAGCCTTTGAAAGCCTTTGGAAGATTTCCCTTTAAGCTCACTGAAACTGCATCTCCTACTCCAGTATCATCTTACTGGTCTTTAATTTTATACCAGCAAGAGGATTTGCAACTCTTCCAAGGGAACTGGGGGGAATGCCACAGGCAAACAATTTACGTACTTTCCAATATAAATAAAAATACTGCTTAATTACAGTGAAAGTTTCTAGTTTGAACACAACCATGCAAATAATGAAGAACATGAATAAAGCAATGATGTTCTCTCTGGACATAAGTGGCATTCTGCAAAGACTTTATGAGAGTTGAAATATTGTTTTTGCCTACTGAGTAAGTAGCAAACCTTTCCACTGAGAAAGACACAAACGCAGCCCTCCACTCAGTGTGTTGTCAGGGGTGGGAAGATACATCTGAGATGTATAAAACCAATCTGACTAATGCTTGCTTCTCCACTGTTGGGCCACAGCTCCAGCCAGCTATTAAGCTCCATGTGGCTGACAGTGGTACTAATGTGCCATTTCAGGGAGCAGAGGAAACAGTCATGAAGTCAGCAACCTTATCTAAGGAAGCTGGTCTGTAGAACCAGAGATTAGGGGTCTTCCTAAATTTAATGTATAGTCTTTTTTATTCCCAAATAGTGAAAACATCAAAATGGCCTCTGAGGAGCAACAATATAGCATTGGGTTTTTCTAATGTTCTTCTCTCTCTCTCTCTCTCTCTCTCTCTCTCTCTCTCTCTCTCTCTCTCTCACACACACACACACACACACACACACACACACACACACACACACGCTCTTTCTCTTTCTTTACTAGTTGATACAGAGCCATTGCCCAGCAAAACCCAAGGAGTGACTTTCTTAAATAGAGAGTTAGCAGGGAAGCTAAGAAGGCTGCCTGGCTGTGAAAAGCCATTTCACTCCAGGTAATGAATATATTGCCTAACAGAGCACTTTAGCATACACTCCATAAAAAGGGGCTCTTTAATCTCTGATGGTCAGGATTGGGAAACGAAATAGAAAAGCAGGGCCATTAGAAAGAAAGCAGGAGGGAAGAAAATCATGAAGTTACAAAATGAACTTTCTCTCAGCAATGATTTGGGTCAAACCCCGATAATCAACAGATTTCTCGGAAAAGAATTGCCTGGCAGCCCTTGGAGTGCACTGATTAACTAAGATGGTTCCTCTCGCTGGGCTATCACTCAGCGGCTGTATGTGGGAGATGAGTCTGATTTCCATTTCAGAAGTTGGAGCAGCGGTGCCTGGTGCCCATTCGAAGACAATATGAATTCAACTGAGGCGCTCCACACACTCCAGGCAGGGAGTTAACAATGTGACCGCATTAACCAACAGACTATTTCTAATGCAGCCCTACTTGGAAAATTCATATGCACAGAGTGTATGCCCGGTGACTCGCTGTCCTACAAATAAATGAAAATGGGGTTAAAGAGGAAAGTAGAATAAATAGCTCTAATTCACAAAATGGATTATGTCCCGTGGCTGTGAAGTCCGGGTTCTTGCTGAACAGATGTTTTTCAGAAGAGCATTTTTATCGGGCAGGTGACAAAAGCAATCCCTGAGCAGGTCCTACTGAGAAACGTACTTCAAATAAGCCACTGCATTAGAGGATAATATGGCAGCTCCATTCCCTGTGGAAGAGTACTTCTTACCTTCTCTGATAGAAAGAACACCAGTTGGGCAAAAGCTGGGCCCCACCACACTGCCTCTTCGGAGAGAAGAGAAAACAGGGATATGCTCCACATTATAAGCCATATAACGGTTCTCCCCTTGCCTTGCCTTCTAAGTTTCTAAGGCAGCCTCCAACTCTACATCTGGAAGCCATCACCCTACTAGTGATGACTGCCTGTGGCTTGCTTCCTTAGCAGAGGCCTTTGGCAATGGCATTTTCCTACTCCAGTGGTTCTCAATAATTAGTTTTCTCATGTCACCCATATAATTCCTTGCTGCCACAAACCTCTGTATCTTGTACTATGATTTAAGTCATATTTTTTCTTAAATTGACACACTATACTACTTTGAAAGGAAAAATGCCATTACTGTTATCACTTGCAATAATGGTGAGTAACCATAAAAATGAAAATAATATTTCAGTAAAATAATACTATCAACTAAATAATACTATCAACTCTTGCCTTTCCATGCTTTGCCAAAAGAGATAAGCTAGAGAATAAGAGATTTTAAAAGAAACTAGCTTTCACACAGGGCAATTCAGCATATAAAGTAAGAGACTGAACATTTATTCCAAATATGTGATACAGTGGGGGCTTTGACAAGTAAATGCCTTAATTCAACAGAGCGCTTCTAATTCACAGTAGGAATTTTGGTCAACATGAAAAGACCAAGCAGAGGAGAGGTCCTGCTTGCCTCTCATTTCTCTGATTTACATTCTGAGACCTTATAGACACACCTTTATCCACAGCACCGACTCACCCACTAAGCACATATTTGAGGAGCACCAATGGAACTGGGCAAAGAAGAGGAAAGGCAGGCAAAGTGGTATCAGGTACAATCTTCCTTATCAAATTAAGTGCCATCTTATCTTTTAGATTCTTCCTAACTGAAAAGAAAAAACAAAACCACAGATGGAATTTTTTTTTTTTACCATAGCCTCAGAGAGAAGACATTCTTTAATGTCAACTCAGAAGACCCGTGTTCTTGGCCTCAAGAAGAGACAGTTCCTTTTTTGTTATGTCAAAATTCTAGCCATTAAAGAATGCCTGTTTATGTCCACAAGCACACAAATTTCCTAATAGCAAACATTTATTTTATGAAGGAAGTCTGGGTACATAGAAATGCTTTTCAATCTAAGATGCATCTCTCTCTCAGTAAGAATAGTTACACCAGTCCTCAGCTTCTTCTTTGCTTTTCCTCTGATGCTGAGCAGGTACATTACATGTCTAAAGAACCCACCTCTTTCTTCTCCTCATCACCATGAGAGAATGTGGATAAAAAGAGGGTTTGAAGGGACTGTCTCCTCTTGAGGGCTAGACCACGAGTCCTCTGAGTTGATACTAAAAAAGTCTTCTCTCTGAGGCTATGGTAAAAATTTTTTCCATTTGTGGTTTTGTATGATAAACGTAAGAATCACAAAGACAAGAACTACAGAAGGAGGGCTTTTAAAAAAATGTTTATGATTTAAATCAGTTAAGTTCCTAATTTTCAAGATTTTGAAGCAGAACTTCCAATAGCCCATAGATGTCTATACTTGGCTGAATGAAAACCGTGACCGAGACAAGAAACTAGAACAGAGAGAAATGCAGTGTGGCTTGCAGAAAGAACTATGGAAGGCTTAAAAAAAAAAAAGGTTGGGGGGTGGGGATATGCTCAAGACTCACAGGGACAAACTAGCAGAAAAGCAAAAAGGAGGGCTGAGCAGAGGTGCGCTTCTGTAAACTTGACTAGAATTTTCAGGAAGTCACTAGCACCCTGCTGCTGTGAGGGCAGAGCACTCACCTAGGACATAAGAAATGAGCTGCAGATGAAAACATCTGATCCATATACTTAAAGTATTCTTTACTCATTTGTTTGGAACAAGAGATCAATGTTTAAAGGATTTTGGGTAAAATTCCAGGTTTGAAATTTACTAGTTGCCATCTTGGGCAAGTCACTCAAATGTCCTTGCCTCAATTCTTCCATTTATAAAACCCCTTTCCTTCCAGATACAAGCATGTGAGCTGTTCGAATGTACCTTCCATTCCGAGAGGGCTTGCCCTTGCTCATCTCTACATTCCCACTATCTAAGATCATGTCTGGCACATAGTAGGTGCTCAATAAATTTGTCAAGTGCATAAAAATGAACTAAATATAAAAATCTAAAATATTCTTTGTGGACAGGAAAAAGGTTTTCTAAGTCTAAAGTACCTGAAGTAAGTCATCCCTAAAACAACTTTGTTTACCTTAAAACTTGCTTCACTGCACCTGTTATAGGTAGCATTTTGAGGCACTGCTCTTTTTGGTTGAGTGCAGTGTTGATATCCACTTAGTATGTCTTCTCTGTATCTGGAGGGCCCATGCAAATAGTTCTCTTGACTTCCTAACCGTGAAGTTGCAGTGGTGTTGGGATTCCCCCACCCTCAAATCATAATCCTAAATCCAGAAAGAGCCACAAGCATCCCTTGTTTGAGAATTCTGTGACACCGAAGTTTCTCCAAGATGCACTAATGTAGGCTCAGTCAGTCGCTGCCAGGAGAAGCCATTAGCTATCACCCAGAAGAACATTATTGTTGAAGTGTCAGGTAATAGAGTAAAGAGCCCCCTGCAGTCAGGGGGAAGGGCAGCAAGATTAAGCTGGAGAAACAGACTGTCTCTACACACCTACTGGAAACAAAATGGTAGTAAAATATCATTTTTAAAGATGGAGCAAAACCTAAGAGCGTAAAAGAAAGAAATTCATGAAAGCTTGGAGGTCAAATGATCTGAGCTTTCTATGCCAAGTTAAACTCCATTTTCCCCAGACTATTCCGTATTCAAAATTTGACATATCCCTGAGAAACAGAGGAGGCTTTCCAAATGGAATCCCCATTTGCTGTATGCCTGTGGTTCCGTAGTTTGGTTTGAGAGCAGACCACAATGCATCCAGAAGGCACATGCGGGTTTTATCTCTGTGTGTGCTTTCGATA